ATCTTCAGGTATGAAGTTAATCTTCAGTGTTGGTGGCATAATGACAGACACATGTTCCTACCTCTGTTTCTTGTTTTCCACCTTATGATGGACCGCGCTGTGCTGTGCTATTGCCACCCAATACAGTTTTTAAATCAAAAATAGACTTTACAACTATTCTCATGGACCTTCCCATTTCATTATTTGGTAAGACATGGGGCAACCTTTTGAGCAATTTTGCTGGGCAACTTTTTTGAGTAATGTTGCTTGGGCACTTTCCCATTGAGAATGGGTAAGAAATTTCTATCTGGATAATTTAGATCGGTTGTGGGCCCTGTGTCTCACCTGGTTGCCCGTTGAAGTTGCCTAGCAACATTGCTCAAAAATTTGCCCCATGTATCATCAGCCTAAAGCCCCGAGCGACTTTTTCCACTGAATGTCACTAGACTCTGTGCTGTGAAGACGCTTGTGGGCGTTCCTACTGTCGCTCTAATGTTATTGGTAGACTGCACGTTTGGACATATCTTTAGAAAATGCAATCACAAACTATATATATTGCTGGTAAAACTAAGATATCATTCTAATATGACTAGGAATTAGACTTAAAAAAAAATTAAAGTACCATTCTGCTGTTGAAGAGTGTTGTTATATAAACTACAGCAGTGCTCGTGCATTAAATCATTAACCAGTGCTAAAATGCTCACTGCATCATATAATTAACAACTCAAACCATCAATGTATGAATCAAAATCACTTAGACAGCCAACAGTTTATTTTCTATGCATTTTTTTATATATCCATGTCTGTGGTTACAGTAAAATCATATAAAACAGTGAAATTGCTCAGGAAATCGGTCCTGTCTTGCCTGTATTCGAGACAGTGACGTGTGAGCGCCACTGACAGATTCTTCACTCCTATTGGTTGTCGCTCGTGAAATTCGCTGTTCATTTGCATAAAGTTATACATTTCTTAACTTTTGTCTCTTGACTCACATTGCTTGACACGCCCACATTCTGTTGCCAATGGTCACTGTCGCTCGTGTCGCCAGCTCTCCATTGAAAATGAATGGGAGCATGATGCTTTGTCGCTGTGTGTCGCTGGCAGTGTGAACGGGGCTTAAGGCTTTACATGACACTAAAGTGTGTGCAAAAGAGTGGTTAGTGAAGCATGCTGAATCTAGACTGACTAACCACATCATCAAATGACCTCTCCCACCAAAATCTATCATACACATCTCACAACTTTGAAGCAGATGTCATAAAAAGCTGACCTGCACTCAAAAAACTTAATGATGCTCTGTCAAGGTCTCACAAAACTTTACACATTCCAACCCGAATTAAATGTAATCTTTCTGTTTGTACAGGATTTTGAAACTTTCGGCTGAAATGAAAGAAAAACACGCCTGCCTTCAGACTCAAACAGCGATGAAGAGTATTATCCTCTCTTTATGAACTACAACTAATCCTTCACAAACAATGCTGAACATATTCTCCCTTTCTTTTGTTCACACAATCCTGGAGTCTCAAAGTGTTAATGGTTTACCCTAATATCCGGCTTGCAAATCAATTTTGACTTTTTGTATTTTGGTTTGGCCTTTAATGCAATCCTGCAATATTATCTTAAGGACTGTTAGACTAAGCTAATACATTTTTTTTCACTAGGCTTATTACAGGCTGAAAGCATGAATGCAAACATGCCACTGTAGTCTAGGTGACAACAACAAACAAAACTGCATGCAACTTTTTCTTAAAAAAGAAGATTAGTTAGGTGTGTCGACACAGATGCATGCAATCATAAGATTTCTTCCATTACAATCAATAGAGCGGTCTACCCTGGGAACTGTGATGATGTACTTTCAGTTGACAAACTCTCTATATCTACTCTGGCTACTTTATTTTGTATGCAGCTCGAGTCATAGCGTGATGACACCTCCCGCCATTTCCTGTCCTCTTTCTAGTGTTGTTAAAGCTAAAAATAAAATTATTAAATGAAATTAAACAAACATTTAAAATAATTTTCTTTAATTGAAATAAGGCTGAAATAAATACAAATTCTAGATGATAAACTTTAAAAATGTAAACAAAATTTTTTAAAAAGTTGCCTTGACAATAAGTTTACTTTCAGTTGACAAACTCTCTATATCTACTCTGGCTACTTTATTTTGTATGCAGCTCGAGTCATAGCGTGATGACACCTCCCGCCATTTCCTGTCCTCTTTCTAGTGTTGTTAAAGCTAAAAATAAAATGATTAAATGAAATTAAACAAACATTTAAAATAATTTTCTTTAATTGAAATAAGGCTGAAATAAATACAAATTCTAGATGATAAACTTTAAAAATGTAAACAAAATTTTTTTAAAAGTTGCCTTGACAATAAGTTGAAGTACTACAAAAAATTAAAATAAAAATAGATTAAAGACATACCCTGTTAAGAGCTGTGCTACAGTTTAAGATAAATGACTGAATTCAGTCTAAACACTACTACGAAGTTTTTATAAGTTTATAAATGGATGTAAAAGGTGGCTCAGTACACATGTTTAGTGTGATTTGGTTAATGGAAAGGAATGGGTGGAAACCCCCCATTTATACACAGCAACAATCAAAAAGTGTTTACGGTACAATAGATAGACCAGGTTATCTCACCAAAACACACATAATAACTGTTTTATGCATCATACTGGCAGTGTTTATAAACCACAGACATGCAGCCACAGATCCAGCACAAAAGGAGGGGGGAAAGCAGGAGAACTTGTCAAAATAAAGAGCATGGGTTAAAAGAACTTGTGAGATTATAAGACAATAAGTGTTGCTGTTGTGACCAGACAATGCTGATATACAGCCTTGCAGAGTGTTTAAAAACCAACCACACACTCTCACGCTCTCTCTCTCTCTCTTTACTTCTGTGCCATGTGAATGTGTGCGTGTATGTGTGTGAGCGAGAGAGAGAGAGAGTGTGGGGAGGTCCCAGGGCGGGGTAGTCAATTGAGAAGTGTGGAGCTCTTTCCGGAACCCATGATTGAGCAATCCAGTTTGACCTTGTAAAGGTCACAACACTGCAGCCATGTTTTGCATATCAAAGCCATTTGTGTCAAAGAACACAAATATCTAGTGGGTGAGAATCCGCTTGTGTAAGGCATAAACTGTGAAAAATGTAGTCAATAGAAACATTTCATGTCGTATCACCCGTATGTCCATCTCTTGATTTATAAAGCGTTAACAGCATGACAGTTTGCTACTGAAGGTCCAATCTGATCTCAGAAGAAAACGTAACTATTTTACAAGGTGGCGAATTTGTATGAAATGTGTAAGATTTGTTCAAAAACATGCAATTTTTTGAAAAAGTGTAAACTCCTAAACTTAAGTGGGAAGTAAGCAGACTGTATGCAAATGTACAAATAATGTCATACTAATTCAGACGAATTAGCCACAAATTTGCCAAAGAGAATTGCCATGAGAGTGTGTTGGGAGTTCTGAGTGGATGATTTGCCCTAATGAAACCACTAAAAAAAGAAAAAGCATCCATATATAAATCCACTGGATTTTCTTCTATTACCATGGTCTGTCTGAATACTCAGTTCTTACTGGTTGGAAGGTGTGTGTTAAAAAACCATTTAATGCACAATTCCAATCAGTTTAATCCCTGTTCCAATGAATGAAATGCCTTTTGATAAGTGTTATATTTTACAAAGAATCAGCAATTTGTTATATTAAAGACCTTTTTTAAATGTAAAGTCAGCAACACCAAAGCTCCAAAAGTATTAAAAAAATGTATAAAAAAAACCCCGTGTGAGACATTTCGAGCATGTAGGCTCTTCTTCAGACGTCTGTAGTCTAAAAAAAAAAACATTTTGGATACTTTTGGAGCTTTGGTGTTGTCGACTTTACATTTAAATTTTTCCACTTGTTTCTTAGTTGAGCACCCAGTTGAGATCGATGTGCGTGCTTTTGCCTGCTCTTTATATTAAAGACCTTGCCTTTAGCTCATGTCAAAGACATTAACCATGATTTGCTTTCCATTACTAATCAGAAAGAGGAATTCTCATTTTATTGGACAAAAATTTTGAAATAACCCCTTTATTCTGGAGCAATTTATTCTGGAAGACAAATAGTTATTATTAATTGTATATGTACTATGTATTATTATTATTTTTTGGTTTATTTTAATAATAATAATATTTAATAATAATAATAATTTGTTTTAATAATAATAACAATACTTTATAAAATGTTATATATGCTAAAAATAATTGTATTACATTTTAAACTCAATAAGTACATAAACCTAAAAGCTAACAAGACTAAAAGTCACAATACTCCAATTTTATTTCATTGGGTCCTTGACCAGATGACTAAACTCTAGAGCCCTTAGCCCACGTTTTTACCATCACAGGAAACCAACTGGACCATGAGCAAGCACCACAATGAAAATGACAAAGTCCACATTATTATCAAACCTTTTAGTACCGTGCGTAAGGCCGATAAACCCCAACCCAAGGACTCCAAGAAGCAAGGATTGTAATTCTTATCTAATGGTACATCATGACTGGTACCTGCAATTTACAAGCTATCTCTGGCAGTAGTAGAAATCGGTTGGCAGAATGGTGGCCACCTAGAGCGGATACAGTTGTCATGCAACATGAGTGGGCAGACTAATCTTTCGTACAAGACGAAACCTTCATGGTGGTGTACATTTCGACTGGCTGATGCAGACACAAAGCAGGTTTTAAAACCGGGGAGTACAGATGATATGCCTTCAAAGTGCTAAAGATTACATTATACATAAGGTAAAAGAGATCACGGAGTCCAAGAGACTGAAGGACCATTAAGTCTCTGTTATAACTTTCATAAAACCTTGAGGTGATAATGAGGTTACATGTTCATATACATACAGTATATAAAAAGAGAACTTAAACTATTTATGCAATGATTGTGGGTATAAATGCATAATTTAAGCTTTCTTGGGGGAAACCTCAAGGAAATAAATACACATTATAACAAGACTGAACCATCTTGTTACTCACAGGGTCTGCGGGTCCACAGAACTCCCGAAAGGTTCTGGGTGCGTCGGTAGCATGGATCTCCAGGGCCATGCAAGGTCCGGAACAAAGTTCATCCACCATATTCTGCAACACAAGCAGTCAAGAGTTAACGACTCCCCTCAGTCTACCTGCCTGTACCAATGAAAGAGCTTATTATCTGAACAGACCTTGGGAAGACATTGGAGCAGCTGGAGGACTCAAGTTACCAGTGTGCCTCTTAATAAATATATAAATTAAAGGATGTCAAAGCAAACAATTGTTGCTATTGTTCTTGGAACAGGTAATCTGCAACAAGACTAGTTCTCATTCTCTGTTAATCTGGTTTGATGAGATGGCCTCTGTTTTTGGCATGTATAACTTTGTGGGGGTGAATGTGAAGTGTTCATCATGCACAGATCACTAAACAACCCATGAGCCACTTTCACATATAGTTACGGTGTCCACAATGGCAACTTTTTAATTTTAGATTTCAAAAATAATAAGCAGTTTTAGATACGTTTTTTTTTTTTGAATGGCAGCTTTAACCATTTTTAGATCTCAAAGACATGAAGCCTTTACGATAAACCTGTTAACAATGTATATTCCTTCAAAATGTAATATTTCAAAATCAAACATTTCTGACATATACAACACAAAAATCGCAAATGCTATATAACCACTAAATTATCATGAGTAACTGTTAAAAAAAGCAATGCCATGGAAGAACAATTTTGAACCATAAAACCATAAATGCAAAGAACCTTTATTTTTAAGAGAAGTTAAAAGTTAAAAGAGAGGTTATGGTTAAACAATGAAGATAAAGAAGAATTAAAGAGCTTCCCCATTTTCCTCGAAATCTGCACTTCATTATCAGTGTGCATGTAACCACAACCTCCACAACCCAATATGAGCAGTGCTGTTACAATGATATGACAATGACATGATGCAATGATGACAGGGAATATATATATATATATATATATATATATATTTATGCAATGATTGTGGGTATAAATGCATAATTTAAGCTTTCTTGGGGGAAACCTCAAGGAAATAAATACACATTATAACAAGACTGAACCATCTTGTTACTCACAGGGTCTGCGGGTCCACAGAACTCCCGAAAGGTTCTGGGTGCGTCGGTAGCATGGATCTCCAGGGCCATGCAAGGTCCGGAACAAAGTTCATCCACCATATTCTGCAACACAAGCAGTCAAGAGTTAACGACTCCCCTCAGTCTACCTGCCTGTACCAATGAAAGAGCTTATTATCTGAACAGACCTTGGGAAGACATTGGAGCAGCTGGAGGACTCAAGTTACCAGTGTGCCTCTTAATAAATATATAAATTAAAGGATGTCAAAGCAAACAATTGTTGCTATTGTTCTTGGAACAGGTAATCTGCAACAAGACTAGTTCTCATTCTCTGTTAATCTGGTTTGATGAGATGGCCTCTGTTTTTGGCATGTATAACTTTGTGGGGGTGAATGTGAAGTGTTCATCATGCACAGATCACTAAACAACCCATGAGCCACTTTCACATATAGTTACGGTGTCCACAATGGCAACTTTTTAATTTTAGATTTCAAAAATAATAAGCAGTTTTAGATACGTTTTTTTTTTTTGAATGGCAGCTTTAACCATTTTTAGATCTCAAAGACATGAAGCCTTTACGATAAACCTGTTAACAATGTATATTCCTTCAAAATGTAATATTTCAAAATCAAACATTTCTGACATATACAACACAAAAATCGCAAATGCTATATAACCACTAAATTATCATGAGTAACTGTTAAAAAAAGCAATGCCATGGAAGAACAATTTTGAACCATAAAACCATAAATGCAAAGAACCTTTATTTTTAAGAGAAGTTAAAAGTTAAAAGAGAGGTTATGGTTAAACAATGAAGATAAAGAAGAATTAAAGAGCTTCCCCATTTTCCTCGAAATCTGCACTTCATTATCAGTGTGCATGTAACCACAACCTCCACAACCCAATATGAGCAGTGCTGTTACAATGATATGACAATGACATGATGCAATGATGACAGGGAATATATATATATATATATATATATATATATATATATATATATATATTATTGAGTATTTGAATGCAATTGCTTTTATGTTCTTAAAAGGTTTATGCTAATAGTGGAGATTATATTTTAGTTTATTATAAAATTATTACCAAAGGCTTTGCCATATATTACATAATAAGAGGAGTCGTCATTGAGTGATGACATGGAAACATGTTGCAAAATACATAATACAATATTGGGAAGATCACGGTGTTCACTATATTCTAACTCCACAGAAACTTCACAAGTTCTAAAAGTCAGCATTGAAGAGAGAAAAAGGTGTTGTTCTTTGTACTGAACTGTGTTAAAGTATCACGATAAGATCTGCTTGGCACTGGTGCACTTTGTTCCAGCAGCCAGAGTAAGACAATTCAATTACTTTACTAATGTATTTTTGCAGAACACTATCATTAGTTCCCACTCTCTCAATGTTTAAACTCACACTGTTATAGAAGCGGCAAGCTCAATGCAAGTGTTTCATGGGCACTTTGCACCTGCAGTGTGCAGACTTGTGCTTTGGTGATTGTGAGGCAATCGATATGTTGATGAGACCGTTTTCATGGCAACAGACTCCAAAATAGCCTCTGGCTTCAATGACCCAGAACCGAAATTGGCTTATATTTGGTCTAAAAGACTTGTGCAGACGTTATCAGAATAAATGATTGCTATTCGGCTGAAATTCAAAAGACTAGAGTAATGTTTAAACTCACACTGTTATAGAAGCGGCAAGCTCAATGCAAGTGTTTCATGGGCACTTTGCACCTGCAGTGTGCAGACTTGTGCTTTGGTGATTGTGAGGCAATCAATATGTTGATGAGACCGTTTTCATGGCAACAGACTCCAAAATAGCCTCTGGCTTCAATGACCCAGAACCGAAATTGGCTTATATTTGGTCTAAAAGACTTGTGCAGAAGTTATCAGAATAAATGATTGCTATTCGGCTGAAATTCAAAAGACTAGAGCGATTGAAGCTTAATAGCCAACAGGAATGTGAAGGTTGTTCCCCTGAACCGAAATTCCATGTACTGTGACGTAACACTGTACCCAGAACAGGGAAATTGCCATGAGGTGAGTATTCGAGGTTTGCAGGAGACAGGTGCACATGTGGTTACGACATGCTTTGGCGACTACGCCTTCTCTAAATGAATAATTAAGCATAACTGGAATCACATGTGAGCTATAAAAGGAAAAACTGAACTTCTTTGTATGGACCTTTGAATTGACTACTATATAGTAGGCATAACAAATAAGGGGGCTATTAATGCTTTTGGCTCACTTTATAACACTGTACCCAGAACAGGGAAATTGCCATGAGGTGAGTATTCGAGGTTTGCAGGAGACAGGTGCACATGTGGTTACGACATGCTTTGGCGACTACGCCTTCTCTAAATGAATAATTAAGCATAACTGGAATCACATGTGAGCTAGAAAAGGAAAAACTGAACTTCTTTGTATGGACCTTTGAATTGACTACTATATAGTAGGCATAATAAATAAGGGGGTTATTAATGCTTTTGGCTCACTTTATTTTATGCACTTATATAAATAAAACGATGAATTGTTAGGTACAATGTACTTACTGTATTCGTGTGGTATTGCAAAACACAAACACACTATTGAGTTGGGATATGGTTAAGGTCAGGGACAGGTTTAGTTGTACTATCAACAAGTATATAAGTGCACTGTATCAAATGATTAAATTAAATGTCAGTGCATAGTACTAAAATGACATTTTCTTTAGTGGACTGAAATCATAGAAGAAAGTGCAGCAACATATACTTACAGTATACTCAGCTACAACCCCTTTATAAACCTCCAAAATCTCCTCCGCATTTACTCGATCCATGTTGAACTGTAATAAAACCAAATCAATTTGATTACTGAATAAAAACAAACTTAACACTTAAAAATCAAGATATAACATTATATATGACAATATAATATTATAATGATTCCATCATTCAGGATAAAGCAGCAAGAATATTTATTTTCACAAACAAAATCAACGTATTAATCATTTTTGACTGGAAAATGACCCATTTGAGTGGGCTATCCAACACACTAGAGATAAAATCTCTAAGCCAACTATTCCAAAAGACCATTATCACTGTCCGATATTCTTTTTATATGCAAAACACAAACACACTATTGAGTTGGGATATGGTTAAGGTCAGGGACAGGTTTAGTTGTACTATCAACAAGTATATAAGTGCACTGTATCAAATGATTAAATTAAATGTCAGTGCATAGTACTAAAATTACATTTTCTTTAGTGGACTGAAATCATAGAAGAAAGTGCAGCAACATATACTTACAGTATACTCGGCTACAACCCCTTTATAAACCTCCAAAATCTCCTCAGCATTTACTCGATCCATGTTGAACTGTAATAAAACCAAATCAATTTGATTACTGAATAAAAACAAACTTAACACTTAAAAATCAAGATATAACATTATAAATGACAATATAATATTATAATGATTCCATCATTCAGGATAAAGCAGCAAGAATATTTATTTTCACAAACAAAATCAACGTATTAATAATTTTTGACTGGAAAATGACCCATTTGAGTGGGCTATCCAACACACTAGAGATAAAATCTCTAAGCCAACTATTCCAAAAGACCATTATCACTGTCTGATATTATTTTATTGACCACCAACCCAGCCCTGGACATACATGCTTTCTAATAGTAACAAAACCTTCATTGATCCACTCTAGCCCAGGGGCATCCTCTGTACACTATTTTCAGCAGGGTCAGGTGACAAAGCTACAGCGCTGTATTTGGTCAGCAGAGGACTCATTTGGAGATGTGGGAGGCTACTGATCTGGTGGCAGATCGCATGGTCGATGACGGGGTCAGGTTACACCAAAGGGAAACATAATTGTGTTTGCCCTTGGTTCATAGAGAGACTCTATTTTCACTTCTCTTAGATTGCTATTAGTTTGGTCATTTGTTCTGTTAAAGAGAACTGATCTAATATCCATAAAATATGTATATCTTTAAAAAAAAAAAAATTATGTCAACTTTATTATTTTAAAATACAGTTTGTATGTTAATAAAAGTATTATTATTATTATATGTAAGCTTCATCAGTAACACTTTAGTATAGGGACCAATTCTCACTATTGACTAGTTGGTTATTAGCATGCATATTATTAACAGATTGGCTGATTATTAGTACTTATAAAACACATATTCTGCATGACAATATTCTACATCCCTAATCCTACCCAATACCTAAACTTAAAAACTAACTTACTAACTATAATAAGTTAATAAGCAGCAATGGGAGTTTATTAAGTCAAAAGTTGTAGTTAATTGTTTGTTAAAGGTGAGAATTGGACCTTAAAGTAAAGTGTGACCACTTCATCTAATTGTAACATTCAATGTGTTTCTTTACTCGCCAACATTATTCGCTAAAAAATTTAACTAAAATACGTACCATTTGTAGGGCAGATATCTCAAATCCATTTTCTATAATTGACTTAAGAATCTTTCCCGTCAACGCTGAAAAAAAAAAAAAGAAAAAAAAAAGAAAGATTAAAACTAACTGTCTTGAATACAATAGTACATTTTATAAATATCTCTCGAAATCATATATAGAACTTCAATTGCAAGACTTAAGTATTTTAAATCATTCTCCACATATAAAACTGTATTCTCCACATATGAAACTGTATAATGTCTATAATACAGAAGATATAATAAATAATACATTTATTCAATTTATTTAATAAATAAATACATTTATTTATTTTATTTATAAATAATAAATCATTTAAAGAATTATAATAAAAACAATTTAAAAAATGAAGATTAAATCCTTACATTAAGGGAATTTTTCAGGCTTAATAAATAAATATTTTTTTTAATGAATATTACAGTTATAGGTAAAGCGTGTAATACTAATAAATATATTTTAACACCGCAAAATTGAGGTTTTCCCTTTAAGGACAGCAAAGTATAAGTATAGTACAGGGTATATTCACATGTTTTTGGAAATAACTTGCACTTCTAAGAGCAGACTAATCATTAGATGGAAGTCTAATGATTAAGGATTTGAGAAGGTTTCAAGTTCAAAACCAAGTAGCAGTGACCTAGGAACTCATGTGATCCTGCTCTATCGACTATGCGCCCTTGCTCTAGGGTGACTGTCCCTGCAATTAAACAACTATATGTTGCATTGGCTGCATCGGTTAAGTGGCAAATAAGACTTTTGACCTTCTGTTTAACCGATATGATCATGCAGAGTTAAAGGCCAACAAACAGTTCACAAGATCATGAAGGAGTGACTTCAAAGGACAGACTTTGATCTCAATAACGCGAGAGTGAATTTCTAAGTCTGCGCCTTTGGACTGAGTGCTGAGAGACTGTATTAATAAAGGGCACAGTGGGGTATGTATCCATTAGCACTGAATTAGGAGTTTGTGGTCTCAATTTCAGCAAGTAGTACAAAATAAACTATGCATTACGTTTCCAAAACACATATTTAATCAGAACATTTAACATATTTCAGGCAATTCAATTTGCAGTGTTTTTTCTCTCATATCCTTAAGAGAAAGGGCAAATACTACACAGCACAAATTAAATGTGATTTCACTCATATTTCAATAGCTGAAAAGGGCAAGGACAGACAACCTGTTTAACATTTCCATATTTAAAATTACATCTTTAATCTTTTATAAGAAATTAGAGAGAAATTAGTAATGCAGTATGGCCATGCACCATAGCAACTGCCCTAGAGAATTTTCTTTTGTCACATAAATGACATCTTCACACATCTCACCCTCCCTCGGCATTACCGGTGACCCTAAAGGTTCCAATTCTAACAGCAGCTTCCAGACACAATCAGCCCTGTTGCTAGGCAATGGTATCAGCACTGCCTGGCTACACATTTGTCTATTCCAGTCATGAGCTAGTTCAAAACAAATCAAACTGCTTTTCTATTAGCTGAGACGTTTCAGTTTAAAAAATAAGGATTCATTGGAGGACATTTACAAATGCTTAAAACTTCACATTGTTAAAGTGATTTTGGCCAGTACTTTCGAAAGGAAGTCAAATCTGCTTTGAATGTCTAATATAACAGGCTGGACTTTTATAGATGCATCCAGCTACAGCTAACTTTAGTGTTATAGACTTTGAACCGTATGGCGTGAATCTCAGAATACATTAATGAATGGTGACCAAAGTTTAAGCCATTTCCCACTGACCTTGAAGACAACATTAACCATCTAGAGAAACTCACTTCACACTAGGTTAATCATTGTAATCTATTAAAAGAACAGAGAAAGTTGCTATTCAGCAAGGATGCTAAATAATTTTGTAATTTTACAAAAAAATGATATTTCAGAATAAATGCTATTATTTTAAACGTTCTCTTTATCAAAGCATCCGGAGAAAAAGAAATGCAGCAGTTTCCACACAAATGTTTGTCCACACTGGGTTTCCACACAAATATTAAGCAGCTTAACCAATGTCAACATTGATAATAATTCGAAATAGTTCTTGAGCATCAAATCAGCATATTAGAATCATTTCTGAAGATTCATGTGACACTGAAGCTGTTAAAATATATATAAAATAGAAAGCAAATATTTTGAATTGTAATAATACTTCATAATTTTACCATTTTTACTATATGTTTGATCAAATAAATGCATTCTTGGTGAGCATAAAGGACTTCAAGAACATAAAAAAAATCTTACCGACCCCAAACTTCTAAACTTTAGAATATACAATAAAATGCACAATATATTGTGCATGTTTTTAATTTGTAGCAGTGCTGCTGCTAAAATTCTTAAGGGTTCAGGGCAAAATTTACATGGGTGATGACGGCCTTGTGACGAGAAACGGAAAACATACAATTACACAATCCAGTCTTATGCAACGCGACATTTCACAGAGACTGGTTTCGAGTGAAAATACAGTTGAGGGATGCGAACAACATGCTATTGTAGTCTTTAATCCAAAAGTAATGTTACAACACAAGGTGAACCAAGCCACATGACTATCCTGAACAAATGAACAGAGCGGTTGCCAAATAATCTGTCTAATAACAATCATGTAGCCACTCTCTCAGCGGGGACTTTCATTACTGGCTATTTTTATTTACTCCTTTCGCAAAGCTGGTGGGCTCTAGACCACCAATCAAAACGTAATCAGGACTGCAATCCTCTTTAAATCACTGGTTGCCAGCACTTTTGATGGAGGTCCAGAGAGCAGATGCACTGCAGGGGGAGGTTGATAGCTGGAATATGAGTGTGGGTGTGCGATTGGATGGAAAATTTGGTGACTAATAGAGAGTTGACACAATGCTAACAGGCGAAATGATGTTGGGTAAAAGCAAAAAGAGAGACCATAAGACTTCAGTGTTCTTCTTTCAATACAATCTGACATTTCTGAATGTTCTTGAACAATTTTGATGAGACTGAGACATGCAACATGAAAAGGACATTCAAAGTGAAGGATTGAAACCAACATATAATGTGTGTCAAAACTGCGGAAGGTCTTGAAGCATGTATTTTTTGTGTTCGTCTGTTTTTGGGGCTCTGTGTGTTTATGTGTAACATTCCCTACAGGTTAATCAGCCCACAGCAATGTACAAAACCAACTTGGGGCCTGCTTAGTCCACAACCACTATGTGAAATATCTACCTCAAGCCTATTGAGAGGATTTGAGATTTCACAGGTCAGTGCCCTGGCGGCATGCTCCATGAACAGGGATCAGGAGACGGATTTGGAGAAGGCTTGGTTAAGAGTACACACTGGCTTTAGGGGTTTTATACTCGTCAACATATAACAAGCAAAACAGCACTAGGCCAGGAGGGAATGAAGACAGTTACATAAGGAGAAGACAATCACGAAAGGATCAAATGACTCTGAAGTAGCACCTTCGCTACCTAAACTGCTCTTTTCATTCATGAGAACTGGGTTTCTACACTTCCACCAAACTCACCACTTTGGGTTCACTTTGAAAAGGAGACTTTTTTTGTTTTTGGAAGAGTAGTTTTTAAAATTCTTCATTGGCCTGGTCTATTTTACTTGAGGTCTTTAAAAGACCACTTTTAAAAGTAAATGGTAATTAATCTACACTGAACATAACAGAATATAATAAACAGTCAAATGTGTCTGGATTCAATCAGATTTACTGAACAGAAAGTATTGGTTGTATGCCTATCATTGACAGATGTCTTTTTTTCCAACAATGAGTGAGTAATTTGCTCTGTAGCGACAGGCCACAACAAAACAGCCATAACTATGGTTTCTGAGCAAGTTTGGCACTCTACCTACGCAACATTCCCATTCCCAGATGGAAAATATGGTTAACCGTTACACTCTATTTTAAGGGGTCCTTGTTACAGTGTAAACAGTTAAGTACCGAATAATATTAATTAACTACATGTACTTACTATTTGGTTAGGGTGTGGCTTAAGGTTATTTGCATGTAATTATGCATAATTTATAATTATAATAGTAAGTACATGTAACGTGTAACAAGGACACCTTAAAATTAAAGTGTTACCCAAAATATATATGACAATGTATATACTGTATGTAGAATATAGTACAAAAATATTTTAGAGCCATAATCTGGAAATTGCGTAATTATTTTTGAAATTTTCATGACTTTCCAGGTCTGGTTTTAAATTTTTCTGATATTTCCAGAATGCTGGAACCCTGGCAGTTGCACCAACACTTTTGCCATGCTTCACCAAGCTTCTTACTCTCCCAATGTGAGCAGTAACCTGTTAATGTGGAGGCTAAATCAAATATGTGCTGCTTTCATGTACAAAGTGAAACAGCTTGATATGATCTAATGGCACTCACACATGTTGCATGGCAAGGTTTTGAGTAACTATTAGATAAACTCCTGGACCAGCATTTAAGAGAATATAGCCTGAGTAACTAGGATGGGAATGATGGGCTATGACATACCAGGAGTGTCTTACCAGTGCACTTATAAACAGAGATGGGTTAATAATACACTACTAACAGCACATTACAAATAGCAAATAATTAACTATGCTATATCTCATCTATAATAGGTTATTTCAAAGACACCTGATTAGACATGATAATTACATCATCACTGTGTGTGTGTGTGTGTGTGTGTGTGTGGGTTGGTGGGTGGGTGGGTTTACCTTCTGAGATGGCATGAGGTTTAATGATACAGCAGGTGCAGTCTGAGTACTTTGCTGTGTTGGAGGGACCGTGACCAGTAGTAGAAGGGAAGAAGAACTCCAGCTCCTATATAGTATAATTAAAAACACATAACCCAATCATTTCCTTTGCCTTTATTAGCATATCACTGGGAAAAAATGATCAACACAAGATTGTAGGCTTGATTAATTGCTATTGACAGTTGCTTTTTTGTTACCCGTGCAGCAGATGCCAATGAGTCTGACCCATGTCCTGCATTCTTAGTGCCATCGGTACCAAACTGGCCTCTGAGACTATTCGCTGCATCTTTTTGTGCCACGCCAGAATCAGTCGGACCCAGAACTTTTCTCCAGGTTGTCACTGCCTCATTTCCCATCAGCTCCATAGCAACCACGGGACCGGAGCTCACAAACTGCACCAAATTACTGTTGTTGAAGAAGACAACTGGCTTTAGCAACTTTTGCTATGGTGTTTATGATTAAATTTGCGGTTAAAAACACGCAGTGTAATGCAAAGTCATGCCAAAGTCACTGTGACAATCTGGTTCAGGTGTCAGAGTCTCCTTCAAAAGCAGCCCTTACATATAAGTCAATCATTGACTCAGGAAAGACTCACTTGAAAAAAGACTTTGACTGATGTTCCATGTAAAAGTCTGCTGCCTGCTTCCTGTAAGAAAGCCATAAAAGAACACAGGGTTAATAAGTGATCTTCAAACCCCACCATCTCTTGACTGACCCCTATAGTGAAATAGAATACGAAATTAAGGAACTAAAAGTTTCATCTTCATATTACCCTTTTGTTGTAATTCTATCATTTATTAATTTGATGACGCGCCAACTAGTCCAAGAAATGAGATAATATGCTTAACACAACTTCCACATCTTCATTCTCTGACAAAGACTGTCTCTGTCAATGAACAGCTGCTTGCTACTTTGAGGAAAGGTTAAAGCAGCAAAACCTGACCAGGCTAAAACAACAGTCTATCAGAGAAACTCTCCATGTCAGCATATTTCAAGACGAAAAGGAAAGATTAACCTTCAGAATTCACTGTAGCCATTTTGGATCATATTTTCAGCCAAATACATAAATGTTAATTTACTGTGAAATGGTTTAGCACAGATGGGGTGTCTACAAATATACAAGGACATCCAAAAGATCTCCAAATGTTATTTGGATCATAATCCAAATAACATTGGATACAATCATAAGCTATTATGACTGACACAAAATTATCTGACTTCCCTTGAATATATTTTTTTAAAATGGTGCATGTTGTTGGGCAAGTGCTGTTATTGTTAACTAAAACTAAAACCATTAAACTATTAACAACTATTAAAAATGTTTTTGGGAATTGTAATGAAACTGAAAATAAAATATATAATATAAATACTGAAACTGAAATAAAAAATAATTAAATCCATATAAAATACAAAAAACTAATAAAAATGACAAAAGTGACCAAAATTACAAAATTAAAAAATATATAAAATTTAAGTAAAAATTTAGTATTATATAAATAATACTAAAATAACACTGCCTTGGGCTTTCTTTTTCCATATGTTTGTTATGATGTTTACATAGCAAATGCACTAAAATAACTACTGATGTACAGACTTTATTTTTTTATCATTTTACCTTAAAGTTTTTTTATGTGGGGGGAAAAATATACATTTAGCTCATTTTAGCCTTGGTTGAAGTTAAAGGGGTCCTATTATGCTCTTCTACAAAGTCTTGATTTTGTTTCGGGGGTGTACTAGAACAGGATCTCATACTAGGTTGTTCGAAAAACACATTATTTTTCACATACACATTATTACAAACACCTCTCTCCCCAGTCTGGCATGAACGGCTCAAATAGTTCCTGTATCAAATGAAGGCCTGCCTTCTGAAATACGAAATGTGCTGTGATTGGTTAGCTGGGCCAGTGTGTGTTGTGATTGGCAGCATTCGGCGCCTGGTCGGGAAATGTCATGCCCCTTACCATAGCCGCCTGTGAGCTTCAGTGTAAATATTGCGTCAAAATCAAATCAATTTGAGCGCGATTTAAACCCGGATGATTGTAACCACTCTAAGTTCGTCTGCCTTGGGAAAGCTAGCGTGTCTCCGACATTGTGATAACAATCGTTGCCTTCTCTAGTGCAGCTCAACCAGGTCTCGTCCTATTCATCGATATTCGTGATATCACAAATCCCGGAAAATATGCGTTGTAGTCCAAACGAGTCGTTCGTTGTAGTTTTTGAAAAGTGATTTCTGTTCAATAAAATATCTCCTTTTGAATTGGACTTTGAGCTTTGCAGGTCTTTTTTATGCTCAAACAGCAACATTACAGACTAACTAAAGTTGAAAAAGTGAAAAAGCATAATAGGACCCCTTTAACTTAATATCGTATATTGCATATATAAAGCTTCATGCTCTGCTTGGCTCATCCTGAATGGCGCTTTTTTATTACCCCTTTTTATATTTGTAGTTATGAACACACAAGGTTACTAAGCCCTTTAAAGTCATTTTACTCTGAAACCACCTGTAAATGTCCTCAGATTTTCTCCTAACAACTCCTCTCATCTGAAGGTCAAATCCACTAAACTTTGTGAAAATTGTGACTTCAGTAACTCCCCAGATCTTGGTCACTTCTCCCTGTGACTGAACACACAGTCTTTGTGATAGATGATAGATCCAGATCTCTAACTTTTAGTCTACCCATGCCCATATTACCACAATTTTTGCAAACCATACATTGACCTTTACAAAACAGGCCAAAGAAATAATATCTGCATCTGGAACTTTAAACACTGCCTCTTTTCTCTAACGCTCTCCCTTCTCACTACTTCAGTTAATAATTGCTGCATTGTGCTGTGAATGTAATCCATTCCTGGTACTGTGCAAAGGCAGCTACTAATGAGATGCTCTGTAGCTTTACACTGTAAATTCTTTCAGAATACAGAACACAGAGTGTGCAACATTTTTATCTTTCTTTCCTGACTTAATCTGTGTGTGCTAAAAATGATCGGGGTCTCCGAGAAGAACAAACGCATGCCAGTGATATACAGGTTAACATACAGAGCAAGCAGTGCATGATTTTTGCTGTGATATACTTTTTTTTTTTTTCCTGAAGAAGTGACTTTGTCAAATCCACCCATTACAAGTTCTGAGAAATCACTCTAGGGTTACTGAAACACCTCATTTGCATAATTAGTCGTAAACTGACTTAAAGGGATACTCCACCCGAAAATGAAAATTTTGTCATTAATCATTTACCCCCATGTCGTTCCAAACCCCTAAAAGCTTGTTTCTTCTTCGGAACACAATTTATAATATTTTGGGTGAAAACCAGGAGGCTTGTGACTGTCCTATTGACTGCCAAGTAAATTACACTGTCAAGGTCCAGAAAAGTATGAAAGACATTGTCAGAATAGTCCATCTGCCATCAGTGGTTCAACCGTAATGTTATGAAGCGACGAGAATACTTTTTTTATGCGAAGAAAACAAAAAGAATGACTTTATTCAACAATTCGTCTCCTCTGTGTCTCTCCGCATCACTGTAGCGCCATTTTGGAGAATAACCACTGAACGCAAGCAACGTACGCTCTTCTGTGTCAGCCGCGCTGCAGGGATGCGCTGTTTTTGTTCAAATCAAAGCGTAAATACACGTAGAAAACGTATCCGTGTGTCGCCTGTGACACAGAAGAGCGTACGTTGCTTGCGTTCAGTGGTTATTCTCCAAAATGGCGGTACAGTGATGCGGAGAGACACAGAGGAGACGAATTGTTGAATAAAGTCATTCTTTTTGTTTTCTTCGCATACAAAAAGTATTCTCGTCGCTTCATAACATTACGGTTGAACCACTGATGGCAGATGGACTATTCTGACAACGTCTTTCATACTTTTCTGGACCTTGACAGTGTAATTTACTTGGCAGTCAATCTGAGAGTCACAAGCCTCCCGGTTTTCACCCAAAATATCTTAAATTGTGTTCCGAAGACGAACAAAGCTTTTACGGGTTTGGAACGACATGGGGGTAAGTGATTAATGACAAAATTTTCATTTTGGGGTGGAGTATCCCTTTAAGCAAGAATTCCAGAGGCCTCCTTTTCTTTGTAACTACTGAAATTTTGCTGAAGTACTGCTACCAATATAATTATGTCTTAAGTCTGTTAATTAAAACATAAATGACTTACCATGTAAGTTTGGTCATTTTGGCTTTTGTGACTATAAGGTTGGCATCATAAATCATCTGAATAATGTTGCCAACTTTTGGAACAGCGTCTGGCTTAATCATAGCCAAAGTCCTAAAGAAGACACAAGACATGAGTATAAAAAGTAAGAAGGGATGCCAGGGATGAACCAAAGTATCAACAAATTAGATATAAATTGTAACTTGTACAATGGTATTTGTTTTGAATAATTTGATTTAATGAGTGAGTAATTGAGTGTGTGTATGTGTGCATGTATTGGATTTTGGAACCCTAGATTTAATACTACATAGCATTTCATTACATGTTTAGAGATTTATAGGGAAGAAGTTTTTGAAAGATAGACAAAGATGCCACTTTTTGCGCAGAAAAATAATTAAACACAGGCACACATATAGGCCTATCTAAGACAAAGACACCTCATCCATAATGTAGCTATTCAGCAGCATGTATATTTAGCTCTTGTTATTATTTTCAGTTTAGAGCTCAAAGGAAAATACACAGCAAATGCCAATTACTGTGAAGCACAAATCGACAACTGCTGCTGTCAGACTTTACAAAGGCTGGTTGATAAACATAATCATAAGTCACTGAAAATCTAACAAGGTTTTCATTGAGTTATCATCATTTTAATCTGAAAGCCTAGTTACATTTTAATATCGGTTCTAAAGAATTTCTTTAAAAAGGAATACTTTAATCTTTGAAATTATATTAAAAATGTACCCTAAGCATTAGATAACACTGCTGTCACAGCAATAGATATGATGCTCTGACTAAACAACAGCAGTCATTTGAGTAGCCAGCTCAAATTTACTTTGAAGAGTGCATATCGCCTTGAGTCTGTCCCTCTGTAATCTTTCCCAAATTTATATTCAAGGCATGCCACCATGAATCTCAAAGGAGAGAAAGAGCAGTGGGAAACTGTGTGAATGTGATTGATATAAGAGATAAAAAAGGACATGCTGACTCATTAAATCAGTAATCATTGTTCAGTGATTTTCACTAGTAGGAGACGCAGCAGCTCATCTTCACTTTATAAAAATTATATTAGCAGGTGTTTAAGGAGGAGGGACCACGGGGGAAAAAACAGAAAAAGGTTGCTAATGACTTTTTCTAGTGATATACAATAAGTTATCCACCGTTTGCCGTTTATGAATAAACATGAAAAATGTATGCCGTTCCAAACCTATATTACTTTCATTATTCATAATGAATCGGACTAATCTGGTTCATTTCAATTCACTGAGTGAGAAACTCAAAAAATTATATTTTAAAGAATGTTACTAAACGGTTGCTGGTAGCCAGTGACTGCCATAATATGGGGAAAAAAACACTATGGAAGTCAAAGGCTACCAGCAACTTTAGTTAACAGAATTTATTTATTTATTTTTAAATATCTACTTTTGTGTTCAACAGAAGAAAGAATCACATAAAACTTGAGGTAGGAACAACCTGAGGATGAGTAAATTATTACATAATTTTCATTTTTGGATCTCTATAACAGCTTACTGGAAGGGAGTATTATCAGTAAATGATGACTTAAATGTAGGTCTTTTGTTGCACAAAACTATTGCATGGCTTCAGAAGATTTGGAACTAGTGCATAAGTCATACTGATGACTTATATTTTAACTATTTATTTTGTGTGTGTGTGTGTGTGTGTGTGTGTGCTTGCTTATATACTACATTGTGGGGACCAAATGTCTCCACAAGGATAGTAAAACCTGACATTTTTGACATTGTGGGGACCGGCCTGCGGTCCCCACGAGGGAAAAAAGTTATTAAAAATAGTAAATTATGTTTATCTGAAAGTGTAACAATGCAAACAGGTTTTCTGTAAGGGGTAGGTTTAGGGTTAGGGGATAGAAAATATTGTTTGGTCAGTATAAAAGTAATAGAAGTCTATGGAATGTCCCCACAATTCACAGAAACAAAATGTGTGAACTTTTCTTTTAAAGGGATAAAGGGATTCTGTCATCATTCACTCCACCTCATGACAATACAAACCTGTATGGCTTTCTTTCTTTTGTGAAAAACAAAAGAGGATATTTAGAGATATGTCTCGCTGTTTTATGACCATAAAATAGAAATCAATGTGACTTCCTTGGCTTCAAAGTATATTTTTCGTGTCCCCCAGAAGAAAGTCATACAGGTTTGGAAAGACAAGTTCTGTCTCAGCAGTGGTGTTGAGGAATCAAGTACCTCTCCTTCTTACTGCCCAGTTTGTTGGCTGTGTATTGATCCCCATAACCTGTGAGGTTCAGCTGACGAGAAAAGATGTTTACTCGGTTGCCAACAAACAGATCCTCTGGATGAAGCTCATCAAACTTGGTCCTCCGTAGGAAGGTGCGCTGGTTCTTCATATCAAACTATATAAGAGAAGCATACATGTGAATGGACAAATGTCAAACATAGCTAGATGTCAGGGTCTGAAATCTGAGTATAGGAACGCACCATCTCCACGGAGCCATCTTTAGGGTAGTAGAGCAGCTGGTATCGTCGCAGGAGAGCAGCGCTGGGGTCGTACCACTCAGCCAGGAAGGCAAAGCGCTCATCCTGTGCATAACACAACACACACAACAAAACACACAGTCAAGCCAGGCACGGCAGGGGAATGTCACTGATCTGACCCTCATGCTTGGACAGGGAGTCACAACAGCCGTGCTCTGATCCTCAACACAGATGGGCAGCTGGGTCAGAGGTTTAGACCCCTTTGATCCCCTGGGGAGCTTCGCTGCAAATGTGGAGCTGTTGTCCAGCTGCTGGAGCTACTGCTCCTGAAACTGTGCGCTACACATTTGTGCAAACATTAGGGCTGCACGAAACTATCAATAGATCTATCAATAGATCAATAGACTACAGATAATATATTTTAAAGTCATAGTGTCGTCATTAGAGGGGCAACCCAGAAATGTTGTGTGGGGCCCTGTGATGAGGAGGGGCCTTTATACTATTGCCTACTCATAGAGCCTGGGGGAGATGGTATAAAAAAAATTCCGGAGTGGTTCTTTATATTTATACTACTAAAAAGAGAATGAAAACAAATAACAAAAAAACCTAAAATGCTAATACAATGTCCTAACCCCACACAAAGTTAAAAAGTGACAAGCAATAAAAAGCTCCATATTAATGAATTAATGTATTTTTTTCATGTCCAACCATGTATGCCAACAACACAAAACAAATAATAATAATAAAAATAAAGCGCACTTCATAGTGTTTGAATTCGCACACTACTTTTCACTATTAAGTGGCTGATTTCACCTTGACACCAACTCAGAAGTGCCCTTGAACAAAACATGGAGAGCAAGTATGTTGGTGTGATCTTTGTTCCCCACAGAGCGCCACCTCGTGGGTGAAATTCATAGCACAGGCTGTAATTCAGGGTGGCATAGCTAAAGCCATGAGCAGCATAGCGATGAGAAATTATCTGTTAATCTACTGTTGATCAGTGGACATCAAAACTCAAGCAAACAACAGCAGGCCTACAACAGTGACTCATAAGATTCATTAATATTCATAATAACTGACATAACTGGCAGATAATCATCATCAGTATATATCAGAACGGCAGTGCTTTAATGTTGCATTTCTAGGCACTATGCCATCCATCCTCCAGGCCACATGCTCCCTAATTCATAGCAGCAACATGTCAACACTGAGCCCAAACATGGCATCACATTATCCCAACTAATTTAACAACAGATCATTAGTGCATCTGCAACATAACGCGAATGCTTTCTCATTCCTCAAACCGTAGAGAATCCCTTTAACGTAATTGAGCTATCTTGAATCTAACAGGGCCTCTTTCCCCCAAACAAGAGCTATTTTTACCCCTCAGTCAGCTGGGACAGAGATAATATTGACAATGAACAGCCTTCTTTGTACAAATACGCTGAGGCACAGGTCTGAAAAGCCATGTCACATTAGGATTTCCACAGTGAAGTTTTGTACCAAAGCTAAAAGTTCTAGGTGCTGTACTGAAATTGATAGTTATTATCACCTCTCATATGAGGCCTTATACCAGTCAGCAAGAGGTAAAAATAAACGTTAAGACTGTTGAAATATTTTTCCCCACAGCACATTAAATAATTTACATAATGAAAATATTTTTACTTAGGAAGATTGTCTTTATTTTTCTATTACTGTATTTTTAAAAAAAATCAAATATACATTTACTTTAAAGAAAATGACTTGTGGCTTTTCTTGTCTTTTTTTCATTTTCTTTGGTTTGTTAAATGTTGTTTGGAAAAGCAATGATGAATTAAAAAATTTCGTATGCATTATACGTTATGTGACTTGACTTTTTTCAAAAAAGTAATAATAAAATATATATTAAGACTTGTTTTCTGAAAAAATGTATCCAAGTTTATGCTTAAAACAAGAAAATATATCAATGGGGTAAGAAAAATAATCTTGTTTTCCCTCTGAATTAAGGTCCAAGGCCTGGATAATTGAGTTTATTTTTCTTACCCCACTGACAAATTTTTTTTTTCTCAAAAGACAAGACAAGTCAATTTGCTTCTCAAGTAAATGTATCTTGAGTTAATAGTGTTTAGATATTTGTAGTGGAAAACAAGACAAAAATACTGAGTAATAAAATCATTATTTTGCAGTGTGGTGCAGTGCAGCTTTGTAACTAGAATATGACAGAAACAACTGATATATTAAAACACTAGCCTACATTTTCATGATCAAGACAACTGCAGTGTTTGGTGGCATTTTTCCAGTCTGAAAGAGTACATTTCAGCGGGTAGTCACCCCCTACAGCACATAGGGGCTATATTCCCACATTCTGCCTGGTGCCAAAGTTACCTGAGGACATCTGTACGTCTAAGAAGAAATATGGAAAGCTTTTTCTCCTATATTAGGACCGTTGTTGTTGTTGTTCTTAAGTGAAAGCATCATGAAAACCCTTTTTTTATCTGAATGGAATGAAAGCAGGAATCAGGGCATTTTGAGAGGGTGCGGGGCTCTAAATGAACATTCCAGCACAACAAAATCACAGACTCCTGGTTAATGATCCTGGCCAGATCGAACTAGAAATAGCTGGGCTTATCTGCCACCTCTAACACTGAAAAATAGGGCTTTCCTCTCAGAGCCCTTCTTGGAAGCTGAGACTTTCTCAGACACCTGCTGTTGCCCTCTGCTATCACTGCAAACATTTCATGCTGTCTGTATGGAGATGGATCAATGCACACTACTTAAGGAGACAGAATGTGAATTGGAAAATAAACATAGTGTAGGAGCACAACAGAGCAAGTAGATGATGGTGAAAGTATCCTGTTACCCAAAGAATAACAAGGTTTTGATTGTTGAGCAAATGACACTAAAAAAAGCATATTAATGACATTAAAGCTTCTGACTGAAATGGATCTGTAATTTCAGTATCCTCCATCTTCAATATGATGCTGTAGAGCCTCAAACCAGACAGCTAGTTTTCAAAAACAGTTGAAAAACAGTTAAGCAGCTTACTGAAACCTGCCAAAACTACATTCAGTCAGAGCATTCTTTTGATTTCTTTCTTTTGTTTCTCGAAGAACCTCAAGGAGGCCAATGCTGACATCTAGTGGCAGACAAATGAGAGCATTCAGTACGTCAAGAGCTTTTAGGTATTAGCTTACAAATTATGCCGTTGCAAAACTGTTTTGCTTTGTAAATTATTATGAGTTATCTTCACTTAACTAGGATTTAAATAGCCTAGATGCGTGTTTACTTGCTTCTTCACTTGCTATGACTTAATGCATCGCTTTATTACAGTTTACATGAGAATGTACTCATGGTATTTTATATTTAGTGCAGACAACACAATTCATCTCAATGGTTTATGTGACTTGAGTTTCTTTTATTAGAAAAACGTATACTGTTAAAAAGCAAACGACTTCCGCCAAAACCACAACAAACATTCATGATCATATGAGTTGAGTCCTTTATTACTCGTATCTAAACAATGGAAAAATATACTCTCCCACTTACCATGTATGAATTCTTTAAAGGAATGATAATATTAGTTGATTGTTGTTTAACAGACGGTTGATGGTCTTCCTTTAGCCTCGCTGTTAATCCCCATCACCATAGCAACAACATCAAACGGGCTACCGTCGAATAAAATAATAAACCATACCTCCTCTGTGAACTATATTGCGTGGTGTTTTAACATTCAGCTCATTTCGATTTTAAAGTCTGGTGAGTAAATAGACGTTTAGGGCGCCAATAGTTTGCTTATACGAGTCTTACTGTAACCCGGAAGTAGTAGTTTCTGACCTTTACCGCCAACTGCCACTCGCGCATGGGTTTGTTGTGGACTTTGAAACTAGTTTCGCTTCAGTATTATGGTATTGTTATGCAGAGCTTCTTACCAGGGCTTTTAAGCTATTGGCTACAATTTAACATCCTTCTAAATGTAGGTTTAGCTTAAAAAGTTGCAAATCTGTGACAATGTAAGACAAAGGTCTGTTGCTGTATTTCAAAAGTGATTTAATGTTTATTTGAGGTTTGAAATTGAAAGGTATTTCCACGGACCACAGCAGTCCAAATGGATCCCAGTCCATTCATTTTAGATGGAGGTCTAGCAACAGAACTGGAAGCAAGTGGATTTCAATTACAGGTAGGTAGTACTGTTACACAGACTTATTGTCAACAATCACAAGTTTAATCACGCATATATTGTATTTGCAGGGAGATCCACTATGGAGTGCAAGAATTTTGCATTCAAACCCACAGGCCATTAAGGACGTGCGTTACAGGTAATTACAGGCTTTATTATGTTCTGTACCTGAGTTGTCAAGCAATGTCTGAAGTGTGACATGGCATACTTGATGTAAAATATTTGTGAACAAATATTTTTACTCTATATTAATTATACATACAGTGGTTTGTTTCATTATTGAATATTTAAGTGAAAAGCTACAAAAGGCTGAAAAGTGTTAAATGTAATCAAGACAAAAGACAGGACAAAAATATATATATTTTACGGACGTGACGCATTGCTGCCACAAATATGTTTTCCAGTCAATTATGTCGTGATAATGACATAAACATTATGAGAAAAGATGTTGTTAAAATGACATAACATCTCATTATTACAACATAGTTGAGTGGAAAAGAGAATGTGTTTGGCAGCAATGCTTCACCATACTATTTCAAATAAATGTGTTCTTTTCATTAAAGAATTCTGGACAAAAATATATATCTGAAAAAAGACTGCCGTAATGGCTGCTGAAAATTCATCTTTACCATCACAGGGGAATTTTTTTTTTAAAAATATGTTAAAATAGAAAACTGTTATTGTAGATTTTAACGATATTTCACAATATTAGTTTTTTACTGTATTTTTGTATCATAAAATACATCAAATAAATGCAGCCTTGGTAGGCATAAGAGACTTAATTCAAAAACATCTTAATGACCCCAAACTTTGTTTTGAATGTACATTTATATTTTCCTTCATACATGTATTTACATTTGATAATTTCTAACCAAAAATCTCTCCATCCTTTCAGTCATTTGTATGCTTCTATTCTGTGAAAATAACTATTCAATATTTGCTGAGTGATTGATTTAACTTGCTTTAATAGATATCTTCAAAGCGGTCCTGATGTTATAACAACAGCCACATATCAGGCCAGAATTGAGGGATTTGTGAAATATCTTGATCTCCGGCCTGAAGAGGCTCAGCAGATGATAATGTCAGGGGTTCAACTGGCAAAAGAGACAATCCGTGAGTTCATGTCTCACTCAACTGTATCAGGTGTGTGCAAGCCAACTCTACTAAATCATGAATTCTATCTAGTTTCTGAAGAAATGTAGAGACACCAGCTAACGAATAATTCCCCCAGAAGACAGAAGAGAGCCTGTGGTTGCAGGTTCAGTGGGTCCATATGGGGCGTTTTTACATGATGGGTCAGAGTACACAGGAGCCTATGAGGACATGATGACAGTGGAGGTAATGCAGGATGAAGCTCTCTGTCCACCCAAGCCACCACCACATAAGAATTTAAAGTGTGTGTTTTCTCTTTTGTCCTAGGACAGGGGTAGGCAAGTTCGGTCCTAGAGAGCCACAGTCCTGCAGAGTTCAGCTCCAACCCTAATCAGACACACCTGAACAAGCTAATCAATGTCTTCAGGATTACTAAGGCTATAGGCAGGTGAGTTTTTTTTTCAGGGTTGGAGCTGAATTCTGCAGGACTGCGGCTCTCTAGGACCGAACTTGCCTACCCTTGTCCTAGGAGTTGAAAGACTGGCATCGTCCACAGATCCAGTGCTTAGCAAAAGCCGGAGCTGATCTTGTTGCCATGGAAACCATTCCAAGTCTCAACGAGGCGGAGGCTTTGGTGGAAGTACTCAGAGAATTTCCAGAAGCTAAAGCCTGGCTTTCCTTTTCTTGTAAGGTGACTGATACATTGCATTATATGTTATGATATCTATTATCTAATGACAAATTTCATTCATAAAACACTTGCAACTGTTTATGCTCACGACATTGCTATTAATGCAGTTAATGTGTTTCAGGACATTCAGAATATTTCAAGCGGGAGGAGATTTTCTGAGGCGGTTCAGGTGGCTTGTAGGTCCTCACAGCTGGTGGCCGTAGGGCTGAACTGTTGTCCTGCTCTGTTAGTGAAACCGCTTCTAGAGTCAGCCAAGTCACACAAGAAAGCAGATTTGAGCTGGGTGGTCTATCCTAACAGTGGAGAAAAATGGGACCCCAAGACAGGGTAAGGTTAATCAGTAAGTTACAATAGAAAGTTATAATTGCAATTGATTTTTGTTTCCATTGAAAAATGTTATGTTTTAAAATGATCATTTCCAGACCTGGAAAAAAACATGGACTTTTATATTTGATTGTTTCATCACAGAAATATTCCCTATCTTAAATAATTGCTCTTTTCTACATCTTTTATTTATATTTTTGAGATCAGATTGATGTTTTTAAATACTCTTATTTAGCAAAGTAATACAGTTTCAAATCAAGGCTGTTCTTTTGAACTATTTCATTAAAGAAAAAATAAAACATATTTCATAGGGCCTTAAAACTGACATTTTTGTTATTTTAATAAAATACTGGTAAATTGTGAAAGTTTCCTGATTTCAATTAATTAGAAATGCTTTTCTATTAACAACAATTTAGTATAACCATCAAAATTTAAAAGGGGAAAAAAACGGAATCCAGAAAAATTTAAATTAAAAAAATGGAATTTGGGAAAAAATAAAACCGATTTCATTCAACTGTTTTCAACATTGATAAATGTTTCTTGAGCACCAAATCTGCATATTAGAATGATTTCTGAAAGACAATGAACACTGGAGGTGTGGCTGTTAAAACATTCAGTTTTACCATCACATGAATTGAATGAATACATTTGAAAATATATTAAAACAGACTAACAGTTGTTTTAAATTGTAATAATATTTATTTACAATAGTATAGTTTACTTTTTTTTTCAAATAAATGCAGCCTTGGCGAACACACGATCCTTAAAAAAATGTTAGTATAAATAAAAAAAATATTATAATCCAATAATCATAAAAATAAAACATGTGGGAACCCTGAACTTATTTACTGATTTGTCTCAATAGTTTGATTGTGTAAGTGGCTGTTCTGTGGCTATTTCAGATGGAAAACTAAAAAACGGACGTCATTTGCCAAACTAAGTCTCGACTGGAAAGAACAAGGGGCTTTGTGGATTGGTTGGTATTGTTTTGTACCAGTAAATAAGCTTTACTGTAAACTTATACTATGACTTATTCTTTCCAGTTGCACTGACTCATGGAGAGCTGATTTCTGTCAACAGGTGGCTGCTGCCGTGTTGGTCCTGCTGATATAACTGAGCTGAAAGAACATCTACATGTATAGCCGTGACTCATCAAACACCGTGACATATTCTGAAATAATGCAGTGATGTGTAAGAAGGTGTATAAATATTTTATTTATAAATCAAAATAATACCAACACACTAGATTCACACGAGTATGAGATTTGTTATGACTTGAACATTATACATTCGATGTTGCTGTGTTATCGGACAAACAATATCACAATTCACATGACATGGAAGCAATCGTGCAATCTTAGCTCACAGCGTTTCACAAAGAACGTGATTGTAATCCTTCAAGTTGCTATTTACAATAAGATGGCACCATCTTATTGGACTATGTCACAATCGGATCCATTGAAATATCAAATGGTCACATTATTAAACAGTCTGATATGTTTATGATGACCTTGACTTCGTTTGTATTTTTTAGACTTACACTAATAAAGCCATTTTTGTTTATACAATAGTAGCACCAGTCTTCATAAAGAACAGTGTAATTTTTCAGTCCATACTGTCCTCCAATGATCTACCATCAGTAGCATATAAATCCACCAAATTGCATATAACTGAAATGGAATGATGCTATTGATCTGAAAAATCAAATATTCACTTCATGTTTCTTAGTACACTTAAGGTGCGGTCATTGCAAAAATTGTCCACTGTGTATGGTGTAGCAATCTATGAAGTGCAGTCACTTTCAAACCAAGCAGCTTTCTGTTGGTCAAAAACTGGGGAAATCTTTCTCCCTTACGTGAAATTCCTGATTGTGTGGATTCCTATAGAAGTTGCTGGATTTCACCTGCGAAAATGTGCAGAACAATGGTAAATGTGACCACACCTTTAGTGCAGTTAATTGCACATTTATTTAATGATTAGTTTATCCACAATATGTTTAAAGAAAGCAGCATTTTGACCTACAGGACGTGACTCGGCGTCTTGGAGAGAGAGCCATTGTTAAGTATTTCTAATCTTAATTTAATGCCACATTACTAAGAGCTCAATCTCAAATTGTGGCGTCCTCCACAAATGGCTTCTTCCTTAAGGGCAACAAAGCAGCATCCTTATGGTTTGGCTTGCAACCTCATCTATGATATGCAATTCTATCCAATTCCACTGTTGCTAATAACCTGGGAAGGTAAATATTCTTGTTTAAAACTGTCGAAAACTCAATTGGCTCTTCAGGAGGAGGATTGGACACTTTAGATTTAGTCAGTTATGTCTTCATCTAGGTCACTGTCTGGAGAGCTTCTGTGCCTGTAGTCTGCTGTGTTGGACAAACGCTTCCAGGCATCCTCAGACTTGTTCCCCGTACTGAGGGATCTGCCCAGACGTTTCACCGCTCGCTCCTCAGAAGCATCCTCTAGCGCAGCTTGACCTCTGTGTTCTGGAGCCTGATGGTGGAGATCATGCCTCAGATTTTCCAAATTCAGTGCCCATGGTCCCAATTTTTGCCAGTTGACTCTCTGGAAGGCCATGATGCAATGCAGATTGCCTCCAACCTGTGAAGAAATCAGGATGCAGGGTCAGGATGCAACATTCAGACACTTTCCTAAACACAGAATTCTTCATAATATTCAGGTTTTTGTAGAAACACCATCACCATAGTCCTGAAGTTCCTTACCTTTTTGGTTTTGCGATACTGAATGCCTCTCTCTATGTGGCGAATGTCGAAGTATTCTGGGTTTTGGGTGTTCAGATCCGTCACGATATCTGCCCATCTGATTGTAAACCAGGTCAGAAATTCAGAAACATAATTTATTCATAATTTCACCAAGGACAACAATGCCATAAAATGAACCATACTTTTTACAGTGGATTGCAGGGTGTTTCCTGCTTGGTTCACCAATGAGAATCCAGTGCTCCATCTCATTAAGCGGCAGTGGCCCCCTGTAAAAAATAAACGAGTTTCATTCTCCATTAGAATAGGGTCTTATAAAAGTAGAGGTTAATAATAGTTTACATTTTCATGACTTCATGACTTCATGACTTCCACAATAAGTGTGGCCCAGGGTCAGTATGAGAGATTTTTGGGCCATTTTGGGGTTGGTAAGACTTTTTAATGTTCGTGAAATACGTTTCTTAAGCTCACCAAGTCTGCATTAATCTGATCAAAACATACAATAAAATCTAATATTGTGAAATATTTAAAAAGTGCATTAATACAAAATTTGAAATAACTTTTTATTTTAATATATTTTAAAATGTAATTTCCTGTGATGCTAAGTTTTCGGTTTTATCCTTTTAGAAATCATTCTACCATGCTTCGACTATGAAAGCACAATAAAAAAAATTTTTGTTTGATGGAGAGAAGGTTCAAAAGAACATTATTTGTTTGAAATAGAAATCTTTTGTAACATTATAAATATATTTACTCTCATGTTTGATCAATTTAATGCATCCTTCCGAAATTATTTCTTTAAAAAAAAAGAAAAGCTAACAGTTTGCCCTGAAAAATATTTCTCATTCTGTGATGTAAAAACATACATATCATAATAGCTTTACATTTAATACAAAAAAACATTTAAAAAAATTAAAACACTATATACACATTTTCTGGCACACATAAAAGGTCACTTTTAATCAAATGGATGTTTTGGAACTGAATAAAAGTTGTACATTTCTTACAACCATAACCACCTAACTTAAAAATGCATCCTTCCGAAATTATTTCTTTAAAAAAAAAGAAAAGCTAACAGTTTGCCCTGAAAAATATTTCTCATTCTGTGATGTAAAAACATACATATCATAATAGCTTTACATTTAATACAAAAAAACATTTAAAAAAAATTAAAACACTATATACACATTTTCTGGCACACATAAAAGGTCACTTTTAATCAAATGGATGTTTTGGAACTGAATAAAAGTTGTACATTTCTTACAACCATAACCACCTAACTTGAACTAATTAAGCAGTAAATGAAAGGCAAAGTTGCTGTATGTTATACCTGTAAGCTTTGGCTGCTTTTAGTGGAGTAGCTTCATAGCCCACAGGACAGAAGTAGTGATTCTGACAGTGGTAAATGTAGGCCATGGATTCGTCTTTAAGTCCCTGCGTCAGCTTCAGCAGTGCCCCCTCAGCTAGAATGAAGAAACATGCTGCTAAAATACTTTCTGACAATATATAAACTATACCTGAAAGAAAACTAAACAAAGATTAAGGAAATATTTATAGACTGGATATTACATTTAAAATACTGTATTCTGTTTAACAAACTACATAAAAAGTGTATCTGAAGAACAACATGCTGCTGTAGCCTCTGTTCTTATGAAAAATGATTGAAAATTCACACACCTGTCTCTCCCGCTGTCTTGTGCTTTCCATGAGGTTTGTACAGAATGTAAGAGCATCCCCGGACACGGAAATTATCGTTGATTTGTCTGAACCATCTGCAGCAGTATAAAAATAGATAATGCACAGGACAAAGCAAAACTTTGGGGTCAGTAAAATTTTTTTTTTTAATAACACAATTATTTTATTCAGCAAGCATGCATTAAATTAGTAAAATGTGACAAAATTATATTTAATAATGCAGTTCTTTTGAACTTTCTATTACATAATTTTGAAAAAATGTATCACAGTTTCCACAAAAAATATTAAACACAATTCTTATTATTGATAATAATAAGAAATGTTTCTTAAGAACCAAATCAGCATATTACAATGATTTCTGAAGAATCGTGTGACACTGAAGACTGGAGTAATAGCTGATGAAAATTCAGCTTTGCCATCACAGGAATAAAATACATTTATTTTTTATAGAACATATTATTAGTTATTATTTTCCACGACATTCTAATTTATTGAGATGCACCTGTAAATGCAATAAATGGTGAACATAAGAGACATCTATCAAGACCCCAAACCTTTTAAAAGTAATGTAATGAATATGAATCAAAAATGAATTAACGAAACTGTTGAAAAGCAAGAAATACAGTAATCTTACCGCATCAAAGTGGCATTGCCAGTGAATGGTCCAAACTTGATATCTTCAAACGGAGGCTGGAAACCAAGTATGTGCAGGGCTTCTTCTTGAGAAATAGGTGGGAGACTGGGAAAAAAAATCCTAAAGTTACTCTTTGCAATTTCTACCAGACCAGATTAGAAATCTTAAAATAGATCAAATTAATGTGCTGTTTTTGCTCCTAAAAATACCAATTCCTTACTCCTCCATCTTTGAAAAATTTTTCACCATCTGAAATATTGTCATCAGATGAAAAATGTGGTTATACATTTCAGCAAGGAACACACAGACCTGCCTGCTCCTAAAGTACTGTAGAGAAAGTTCCAACAGGAGACAAGTGAGGAGATTCCACATGATGTCTTATATTGGGGGCGGCTGATGCAGTACCTAGAACATTAGAGGAACAGTTGTTAAACTTGCACTCTTTGAGTCTCATTTCTCTTTCCAATGAGGGAATTACCATCTACGGAGGTCCAAGACTTTTCTCTGTTTGATCTCCTCCAGAGAAGCTTGTGCTGGGAGATCTTGCAGGTTTCTGCTTGGCCTGTCAGATGATTTCATTTTCTTAGAGTTGAATTTCTTTAAATTACCTGAGAAACAACACAGACTTCATCCTTTAATAACATTCTAAGTAATATATTAGACTCATGCTGGTTTGGTTTACACTCACATATCTACTAGGATCAAGTAGGTTCTTAAAATGAAGAATGGATTAGCTGGAGTTTGGATAAAGGCAGGCTCAATGTTAAAGGAATAGCATGACTATCATTCCAAATTTGCCCTGTGCTCTTTGTTTCGGCAAAGATTCCTCAGATCAGCAATCGTGTAGTCATCCCTAGACTTCTTTTGATCAAGTAATGAGTGATGGCACACTTCCAATACATTCTGTCTATAAACTCTTAAATCTGGGATTAATTACAAATTAAAACATAGTCTGTTCACAATGAGGTGAAAAGCATGTGACAGTCACTAGTGTCAGTAAGGCCATCGCTAGAGTTACATAAACCACAGCAGATGGTCAGTATGAGCTCATTTTCCTGGCATATTATTGCTCAACAGCTTGTAGATTTAAAATGACCCTGATATTTTCAAACTTTTTTTTATATTTCATAATTAAGTTGAAACTGAAAATAACATTATTGTCATTTCATAAGCCTCAAAATATATTTATAAAGGTGATATGTGCTCTACAGCAGGGGTTTTCAACATTTTTGATGGCAAAGACCCCCAAACAAGATGATCCCCATCCTGAAATATATACACTACCAGTCAAAAGATTTTGAACAGTAAGATTTTGAATGTTTTTTTTAAGAATTCTCTTCTGCTCACCAAGCCTGCATTTATTTGATTCAAACAGCCGGCACTGTAGTCTACTCTTCCAAAATCAGGAAACAGTCCTCCATAAAATATGCTGCACACAAATGAATATTTGGGTTGAACTGTTCTGGAACAGTGTTGTAAATACAACTTAACCACTGATTTCTAGTCGTGTCCTCTTTTTGGAAGGCCAAACAAAGTAGTTTCGCTTTCACAACGAAACACACAGTGTCACCCACGGCGTCCTAGAGTGAGCGGCGGCGGGCGGGCTTGCGGCAACCACATGTGACGACCCCGGGCTGGACTCCGCTTCGTCCACGGTGAAAGCCGATCCGGCGATCCACAGCACTAAGTTGATGTATTCCCTCAGTGACCAGCACGGATCAGCTCCAGGCATGACGAAGCGGATATCGTCCTCTTTTGGAAGACCAAACAAAGTAGTTTCGCTTTCACAATGAAACACACAGCTCTTCACGACATGCCAATTTAAATCGCATCATATGACCCCTTTAAAATGTAATTTATTCCTGTGATTTCAAAGCTGAATTTTTAGAAACATTACTCCAGTCACATGATCCTTTTCTGATTTGCTGCTCAAAAAACACTTATTATAATTATTATTATGTTGAAAACAGCAGAGTAGAATTTTTTCAGGTTTCTTTAATGAATAGAAAGTTCAGAAGAACAGCATTTATCTGAAATATAATTTTATAAATGTTATTTCATTAATGTTCATAAACATTATAAATGTCTTTATCATCATTCACTGTGGGCTATGAAGCTTTTCATTTTGAAAAATTTTCTATAATGTTACAAAACCCCCCCATTTTGTATAATGTTACAAAAGCTTTTAATTTCAGATAAATGCTGATTTTTGAATTTTTCTATTAATCAAAGAATCCTGAAAAAAAAATTTACTCAACTGTTTTTTATCACATGGTGATAATACTAATAATAATAATAAAAAATTATTGAACAGCAAATCAGCATATTAGAATGATTTCTGAAGGAAAATTCAGGTTTGAAATCACAGGAATACATTACATTTTAAAATATATTCAAATAGAAAGCAGTTATCTTAAATAATACAAAATATTACTACTTTTGCTGTCTTTTGGATCAAATAAATGCAGGGTTGGTGAGCAGAAGAGAATTCTTTAAAAAACATTACAAATTTTACTGTTCAAAAACTTTTTTTTTAGGTAGCTATATATTTTCATGTTTTAAAATCCATTTATATTGTGTGAGAAAGATAGAAAGTGTGATTATAAAAACAACTAAATGAAATGTTTCCAAAATGTTATTTTATACTGTCAAATTCTGCAAAAAAATTAAAATTTAAAATAAAATAAAAAAATTATATATATATATATATATATATATATATATATATATGTATATA